TGGGATACTGCTGCAATACAAAGAAAAATTGCTTCATGATATTACTGCATTAGCCACTGAGCCCAAATTACCTTTGGAAGTTGCAAGTTTGGGGCTGTTCTCCAGGTGATTTCTCAGGCCAAGCTGACGAAGTTCAGCCTGCCTAATGAAGAACAAATTTCCCTGTCGCAGTTGCAGGACTGTAATGGCTGCTAATGGAATAAGCAGCAGCCGGGCTTGTAAAAGCCATGCCATAGCCTCAGCCGCAGCACAGGCGGAAGTTGTTAGTGCTTGTGCTCACTAAGTCAGTCCAGCTGAGCCTGCTCTTTCTTAGGAGCCTCTTGGAGCTCCCACAGGAGCCTGCACTCTGGGGATTTTGCTGTGCATTTTATAACTTTGCCATTGCTGATGAGCAGACTGAGCAGTAGATGAACAAGCCATATCTGAATGTCTTCTGAGGGTCAAGAGGAATTAATGTACGCTTGTCTTTTCAAATACTTGTTCTCATCTTATTCTTGAGAAGGGAGCAAGCGGCTGTGCAGAGTCCTCCATGTTCCCCAGCTGAACTCAATAGGCAGAGTAAAACCTGTCCTTTAGGGAGGATGAAGAATTAGGGAATCCCCCCTTCTCCTCTGAATCACTATAGGCTATTTTACATGCTTAGACCAAGAGACTGAATGATCCAGGGCCTGGCCCAAAACTCCTCTGCTGCATTGCTATTGCTGAGCTAGAGCTGGAAACCTAGGAAACTTTCCAAGATGGCTGGAGCTGCAGGAAACTTTGGGGAAGGTTATCTGGAATGACATGCTGAGCTTGTGTGAAGTCGAGTGACAAATGACACAGGCACTGATGCTTACTCATCATTTTGAGTAATTTAACTAGGAACGCTCCGTCCTCTGCCTTTTAGGTAATAATATAGGCTTTTATCGGGTTCTGTAGTAAACGTACTGGGAGACAAAGCGTTTGTCGTGCCCGGGGCTGCGTAATGGGCTCTGACGGGCACTCAACGCGCCGCTGAGGGAAGCTGCTCGGCCGGGCTGCATGCGCCATGGATGAACCTTCTCCTCAGCACGCAGACAGCGAACGTGCTGCTCGTGTGCTGAGGAGCAAGTGGCAGGAAGGCTGCTGTGTTCAGCTTAATGTTGTCTTGTACAAAGTCTTTTCTTCCTGAAACACCATGGAAGAAGGTCACTGCATTAAGGGCTGCCCAAAAGTCACTGTAACCAGTGAATAGCCCTGTCCAAGAGATTCCTCCTTACTCCTCTGTTTGCGGAAACAGCAAGTCCTCGCCATAGCAACCTCTGCATCAGGTATAGCTCTCAGGTGAAGAGCATTTCTCCCAAGAAACACTCTTTAAAACGTATTTTACTTATGTACCCGCACATCAGGCTCAATCCACCAATTCTTTCGTACAGATTTAAGAAAAATATGAGCATGAGACTGGGTGCATCTCATACCTGCTGTGGCCCCACACTGCAGCCTCAGTGACTCTTCAGCGCCGGGACCGTCGCCCACACGTGGAGGTTGGCACTGAGGTTGACAGCCGCAGGCAACATTAGCACAACTTGTGTCAAAAGCGATGTCTGGAATTCCAGAAGGGATTGGGGCTGAGCTCTGTGGTGGGTGACAGATTTCACACGTGGTGGGGAGGCTGCCCCTGCAGGGGGTTTCAGAGCAGGGATGGAAGTGCTAGCGTCGGGTTAGTCCCGCAACCAGGACATCACTGCAGACTTTCTGCTCACTCCTGAAGTACTGAATTATTTCCCAGCATAATGTATCTGGATAGGGTAATGATGAAATATATCCTCCTGACTTTTGCTCCCGTTCATGCTGGGTTTTAAGCATTCTGTTCGTGCTGCTTCAAGGACAGCATTAACATGCAGCCTCTGCAGACCCGACTGTGAGAGTTTTCAGATGTGCACGCTTATGAGGAGCTCCAGTTCCAAACTATGCCATTTTCAGCTCTCATTGTTTCATTTTTCTCTATCCTCCTGAGGTGAACTGAGAATATGTCACTCTGGAGTCCGTCTCACCGTTTTCCTTGAAGATGTAAAGTGAGGAAAGAGGAGGTGTGAATCCAAGCCTCGTTCCTTATGACACAAAAACGATTGCTCCTTGCAGAAGCCTTCCAGGCAGCATTTTCAAAGGTTAGAAGCACTTGCAGTGGGTAACCTGGCCCACCTGTAGTGCCAAGTTGCCCTCATCTGTGTGGTCAAGCTTTGGAGTGCCATGGAGAGGCTCCAGGAGCACCTTGTGACACACAGCTCTGGATCCCCTCTCTTCGCTGGAACCACTTATGTGATGGTGGCCATGGTGGCTAATGGCATTCCTGGGATTTTGGCCTCTTCTGAGCTTGGCTGGAGTAGCTGAGGCTGCAGAAGGCCAGAGGAGGCTGAATCGCAGCCTGGTGATAAGAAGGTTACCGCTTCCTTCAGGAATAAAGATGAAATTTGAAGGGGAAGGACTGACCTTTTTCAAGACAAAAGGAATTAAGGATTGCAGTGTGTTGGCTCTGTCGTGTCTTGCTTTGTAATGCTGGACAGAAATTGTTGTAAAATAGCACTTTTAATTCATTATTCTTCCCTGAAAAGCACGGCCTTCTTCCATACTTCTAGATATTGCAAATTGTTATTAATATTTATAAACTGCTCTGTTGTTTTCTGATAGAGAAAACAAATTCCAGTGCAACAGACGCCCTTAACTATCTTCCAGTTGTGCCTTCTGTAATTAGTGTTACCATGAGATTCCCTAGACATAGCTGATGCCATGGCAACATTATTTAATTGCAGAGTCAACTGGCCCACTCTTAAAGATAACTACTGTGCAGCACAGTGCTGCTTGACTCCTGTGCTGATTCTGGTCTCTGTGCTGACTCTGGTCTCAGTGCTATCAGCAGTAATTTCATGTTTTATTCCAAATCTATAATAATTGTAATTTCAAATTATCAAGCAAAAAGTATGGAGAAAGGAAGATAAGAATAATTAACTTCTCATCAGCGTCAAGGCGGAAAACTCGGCTTTTAAATAGTAAAGAGCATAAATGGATTGCAACTCACAGTGCCTTAAGAGATGTCGAAGAGGGGCATGGTTCTAGAGGAAGCTACAATAAGAGGCACTGGGGACCCCATTAATTAAATAGTAAAGTTCCCTTAATTTCGGCAAGAGAAAGAAAGCATATGTCAGAATATTTTTAAATGGCTTTAAAACATTACATATGAATGTTGCTGACATGGGTTGGAGGCGAGCAGTTTGGCATTAGTATCAGATTTTTTTTTGTCAATGGCAACTGCTCTGTACATAGTGAGTTCTTTTCTACTTCTGTTAGCAAAGATGACCCCATGATTATTTTGAGATTATTTATCTTTGCTGCAGGTTTTGGAGCAGTTATTTTACTGGTTGCTGCTTCTTCTGGATTAGGACTGGCTATCCCAGTTAGGAATAAATGCACATAGATGGAAACATTCCCCAAAAAATCATCCAAAGATAGACATTTGAAAAAAAAAATCAGCCCAAGTAGCTTTAGTCTGGCTAAGTTATTAATAAAATAAAGGAGAAGCTCATAATAGAAAATGTCAGGCAGTCTCACTCATAGACATTGGTACCTGACCTGCCTAAAGTGGGTATTTTATGTAACCAAGTATGAAGCCAGATATTATTTTCCTCTTACTCCTCTTTACTCTTGACAGAGTTTTCTCTCCCCACTTTTCTAAATCTGAAATGTAATTTACTGGCTCTGCAGAACAGGGAAAAGAGGAGCCTCTTCCTCCAGAATTGGGGGTATATGTAAAAGGTTGTTTTCCTTTCTCCAGCTCTGTCTCAGGACTGTCTTGTGTTCAGACAATGCCAGCTCTTCTGCCTCTCCTGATCTCATGCCTGGAACATGCTGTTATTGCAGACAAACTAGGAGCGCTCCTAATTAAAGTAGCTGTTTTATTGGAACTAACGTCCTATCAGATCCCAAGCAGAGTTTGGTCACAGAAACTGCTGTTGCAAGAAAACACCAGTTTTATCACTTCTCATTTTTGATTGTTCCTCCCTTCCTTTCAGTAATAATTTCATCTGACCCTGATTTGACCCAGTATAATTCAGCAAGAACATATGCAGCACCTTGTTCTGCAGTTGCCCATATGGCACAGTGAGGGAAGGAAAGGCTGTGCCAATTGCAGATCCAATTATAGCTGAAGAAGGTTGCTCCATTATTGCATTTGAAGCCATAATTAAATTTGCTAACCGTGAAGAGGTGCCAAACCTGCCATTTCTTCAGAATGTGGGACATCTGTTTAGTGCTAATACTAACACGGGATTTGAGAGGAAACATCCAAACTTCCATCAGATTTTGCGGTTTTCTTTAAAAAAAATCTGTCACTTAGCAGCATCTTGGTTTTAATTCTACATTTCTTGAGCTTTTTCTCCACTAACGTGGAAGATAGATCCTCTCTGCAGACAAACAGATGCAGATGCATTAACACAGTCCTGCACTAACGTACCTGGTCTCGGTGTGTGGGAGCAGATGAGCTGATGCAGCTACAGGCTTGCAAAGCTCTCTCCATGAGTATCCACACTCGCTATCTCTTCTAACCCTGCTTCCTTAACAGATTTTCCAATAAAGAAGCCGTCCTCTGAAAGCAAACTATTTCAGTGGGGCCAAGTTTTGCACTCTAAGCAGCCTTGCGCTGTTTGCTCCACAGTGTGATGTTGCCTGGAGCTTGTCTGGTTGCAGTCTGCCCTGCCTCTGCCCAGAACTGCCTCTTGCCCTTCCCTGAAGATAACACCATCCTTATAATAGGCACAGTAACAGCTGGGTGGGAACTGGGAGAATTTGGAAGCTGCTTGCTGTCTTTTACTAGTACTTACTCATTCAAGTTCAGTGTGGTATGGGGTTTCCAAGGGGAAGCTGTAGAAACCCTTAGGTTTGGTAGCCCTGTTAGACCTCTCATTGCAGGCACGAACTCCAACAAATTACTGCAACCAAGAATCTTCTTTTTAATGCACGAGGTAGTATGAGAAGAACTTACTGTGTACCTTAAAATAGGTGAACCGCTGTTTTTGCTGCCAGGTGAGCCATTGATTTTTGGTGAGCCATAAGCGAGCGCCCATTCCTTTGCAGCCTTCAGTCGAAGATGATCACGTGAAAGGTAGTCCTGGAAACCTCTGTGCAGCTCAGAGCAAAGTCTGCAGCAAAATCAACAAGCTGTGTGTGATACCAGCCTGATTGAGCCCTGGCATAAAGAACAAAAACAAGGATGAACAGTAGCAGATACGCAGTGATACGTATGAAATCGTTAAATGTAATTTAGTGAGTGGGAGAAACATGAGTAGCAGCCACAGGGAACGTGTTTAGTTATTCCCATAACCAGGCACGATAGCAGCTCACTTGCTGCAGGAGTTGCCCTGGGAGGGAAATGAAAGCCAAGGCAGCGCCAAGGTCTGTGCAGGGAGGCAGGAATGTGTGTGTAGGTGACAGGAGCATTGTGCCACAGGCAGGGACAGGGCTTTGCTGTACGTGCTAGCCCGGCGGCACCGTTGCTGCTCTGGCTTGCTGCTGTACAGGGGGTAAGAAAGCAGCAGGGTGAGCACTGCCCCCCACTTTTCAGCAGCCAAAGGGAAAGCTCTGTGCTCAGATACTCACTTCTCACAGCTCTTCAAGCAGTCAGGCCTGATACATGTCTCTGTTCTGAGCCTGTTCCACATTTTTTCTACTTCAAAATATATTCTACTTTCCTCACAGTTGTTCAGAGCCAGGATTACTCACTCTTAAAATGCAAGACAATTTACTAAATAGAGTGTCAAAATACATGAGGGAGTTGGATGCACTCTCCGTGTGTTATTTTTTCCCCATTGAGTGAATGTTTTTATGAGTTGATGTCCTTATTGTTAATATACAGCCTGGTAATAAAAGAGGAAAATATAGCCAGCCTGTGTAGAAGAAGAAAAAAGCAGCAAGGTTCAGGTAAAATGCCTCCGGAGATTCAACTGCAGACAGAATGATGGATTCAGCTGTTCATTCCCAAAATACATAATGGCTGTAAGAACAGGTAGTGAAAATACTAGAAATTAAAACATGGATTTCCATTATTTCCTTCAAATGGCAGGTGAAAAACGTGAAAGCTTTAGGGCTCAGGTTATGTATGTTATGATTTGGCCTCTGAGAATGTTATTTGCTGCTGACAGATCCTGATATGCAACCTAATTCCACTTCTAATCAGACATTCATGATTCATAATTTTAAAACACTTTCAAATGCATTTTTCCCTCATAGAGTTTTACATATAGAAAGATGCAACTTAAGACCCAGGAGAGAGCAGTACAAATATATTTATAAGTACTTTAAGCATGTGCTTGGCTGGCAGCCTCACAACTGCACAAGCAGCTTCTGGTAGTATGGAGGACCTGCCTGTGAAACTATAGTTCTGTGCTTCTCTATGTTATAAAGATCTATGTTATAGATATGTCATATCTATGGTAAATACAAACACACTTTCTTTGGCTCTTTGCATACCCTAAAAGCAGTTAGATTTTTTTTTGTACTGTCAGCTGCTTTTACATACTCCACACCAGTTCTTCCGTGAGCTCCCTGAAACACGTTATGGCACTTTCGATTTAGTGTATTAATAAGACTCTAACCAAACACAGTGAAGTGTCTATGGCCAATTCATTTACAGAATCTCAAAGGAATAAAAATAATGGTACAATGGTGCTATTTATATTACCAGCCTTTGCAACCCAATAGCTTTTCCTTATAGCTTGCCTCGCTGTGAGAAGAGACGTTGCCATCTGTTACTTCTGGGGAGCTCCTTTCATTCCCATGTGCTTCAAATGGTGTGCAGATAGCACCAAGAAATGTTGCTCATGGGGACATGAAGCATCATTTTCAAGCTCATAGTGCACTATCTAGCAGCAGGGGGGACACTGAGGTCACTGGAGCTTGGATGAAAAAGACTGCCAGGGAATTTTTTTTTTTTTTTAAATGAGCCTGCTGAGAAGACACACGCATGGACAGCAGTGCCTTGTGTGCAAGTTTGGGCTTTGAGTGCACCAGACACTCATGATCTGAATATTTGTTTAGTGAAACCTCACAAAGTTTGTGCCATCACTAGGATTTCACATACTGCTGGGGTTTGTGAGCATATTTTTACAACACAGATCAGTTTTTGAGGCCCTTCTTTAGCTCTGATGGTTTTAATTTTATTACCGTGGTCAGGTGTTTGAGGATTTGTAACTCCAAGGGTAGACAGCTGAATGAAGTTAAGCTTCTGTGGATCTTTGGTTTTGGTTAATCATGCTTTTTCCTTTTCTTTTTGATTTTACTGAAAGATGAATGTTAAGGATAGCAAAGAATTCATAATTAGGAGATGCTTTAAGCGGAATGTTTGAAAAGCAGTGAATATCTTGACTAATATTTCACTTAAACAGCTGTTTTGCCTAATCTACATTCACTTTGCTCACTGTCTTACCTTTGCCCTTTCTTTTGAAGGTATTCATAGAAGTGAGTGTCAGTATTTATCTACCTGCTGTGTTTCCATCTGCCTATGCAGTGCACAAATAACCACAAATTATATTTCCTTTGTGAAAATGTGAATGACAGAAGCATTTCTAAGGCTTCATATGCACAGAATGATCAAATTTCATCTCCTCAGTCTTGGAGGAAATATGCAACCTGTACCTGGGACAGCTGCCAAATGTGGAGTTGGATTTCCAGCATCTTCCCCGAGATTTCCCACCTGGAGTCTTTCCTAGATGCTTCCATCATCCTTGTTTTACTCATTTTTCTTGACAGGCAAAATGAAGTTGGAACATTCATACCCAGGGTTGCCAGAAGAAGTGCAGACACAGCATTAAGCCATTATGTAGTGGTCTCCTCTGAGAATGAATATCAAAACAATGATCTGAGAACACATTAAAATACGCACAACTTCAAAAGACCAGGGAAACACATCCTCCACTTATGATTTCAATGGAGCCAAACTAATTCTAGACCTGATCTTGGTATTCACATGTTTTAAGATGAAGCAGAAGTAGTTCCATTGCCAGGAACCAAAATATGCTTCTTGAGGACAACTACTTACTACAACAACAGAAAGGAAGAAGGGGTATTTTCTGAAAAAGCGTCATCCTATTTTTCTGCCAGATTGGCAAAAGAATCCATTGAAATGTGTGCTTGGCAAGCCAAACTCAAACCCAAAATGGAAACATCTACAAAAAGACTATCAGGCACACATTTCACACCTAAAAGAGAGTATGAGAACTTATTTTAACTACAGCAAAAAACATGACTGCATTAATTAGGAACATTGGTATGTGGAGACTTCCTAAAATCCGAGAGTCTGAAACAAATGCCTGCTGTCACAATTTTGGGAAAGGATGATTCCAGGTCTGATCTTCACAGGTCAGGTAACATGGAAGGAAAGGCACGTGTTCAAGCGTCTAAGTATACAAGTGAAAATGAAAAATAAAGTCCTAGATTAGTGGATTTCCATTGCACACTCATTTTACATATGTGTGGTCATTACACGATGTTTGTTCTAACACTTAAAGCTAAGACTTTCCTGTTTTAAATTATGCATCTCTTGAACTGACCAAGAACGTGTACGTAAAACTTCTACATTTTTGTCAAGAAAACCTTGAAAACCACAGTGAAATGTGATCAGTGAACAGTGAAAATTCTGTCATTCCAGGTCAAAGAAAACACAAAGACCTTACTGTGCACCTACCATTTAAAAATGTGTCTGCACTGCTGTTTACCAATATTCTCATTTGCTAGAGCAAAAATCATTGCCAAAATACTATTTCTGGAAATGGTGAGTTATAGATGGAAGCACTGCTTATTTCAAATATTCCTTTCCCTGTGCAGCTGTGATTCCAAGTTTTTTAATGTTCCCTTGATGTTACTGGGACCTAAACAAGCAAAGGCCTTCAGTATTTAGGGAAGGCCGCTCATTAGACAAATGCTTCCTGGATAGAGATGGATCTAGGCACATGCAGTTTTCCTATATTAAGAAAAAAACTAGGATAATAGATCCTCTTTCCTGGCCAAATTCCAGAAATGGCAATTAAATCTTCTTCAGCATCTCCACTGCAGTCTAGAGTGCTCTCCTGGATACACCAGGACCAGATTTTACGTTATCTATTTCTCTCTAATGACTATCCAAAGAGTCTGGACTATTCTGGCTCTCTGAAAGGCAGGCATCTCATTTTCACGTGCAAATGTCAGGATAAATGAATCTCCTCCCTAACTCCTGAGTACAGACAAAATGGGAATCATGCCCAATGGAATGAAAAGGCCTGGCTTTAACTGAGCCCAGGGACTGAAAGGAGGCAATCAAGCAAGAGGGGAAACAAAGAAAATGAATAAAAGGGCCCAAATTAAAAGACAAGAGCAGTGTGGAAACATCATCATAGTCACCTTGTATCAGCATGAGAAAACCTGGCATTAATTCAGTATTCATTCAAAAAAATAGAGAGTGTACAGTCAACTACAGAATCAGTGTTTTGACTAAAACACTTATTTGTTAAAGTCATCTTCTTTTCACCCACCAGTTTCCCTTTTCCAGTGATCAATACTATTAAAAAGGTCTGCAAAGTGAGGGGCAGGTTAGTACTACTTCTGCACCTGACAGAGACCAGACTTAGAGATATTAGGGTGGATTTGTTACCTTAATCCATTAATAACACTGGTTTTGAAGAGGCTCATTTGTTAGGCTCTGGCATATCACAGGGCAAAAGTATTCATGATGCAATTACCTGTGAAGAACTGCAGAAGGTCATTTTGGCTCTGAAGGATGCCAGAAAAGCAAAGGCCCATCAGTATGAGAAGAGAGACCTGTAGCAGACACCTGCCTGCCCGTGCTGCCTTTGAGAGTATCTACAAACTGCGATTACTGAAAGAACAAATTAGGATACATGGAGATACAGTGGTTACCTCTTTATAACAGCATGAATCCACAGCAAACACCAAGCCAAAGTGATGGCCGCTTGGCTTGTGCTCATGCAAGTCATTTCTTTGAAATATCTCTTTCTTCCACCTTCCTCTGCACTAAGTGAAAATACTTTGCAGCTCAACTGAAAATAAATGCACACAATTCATTTCTCGAAAAACTTTCAAAACTAATACTTAACATAACATACAAAATCTTTCATAATCCTTAAAAAAATTATCAAAATGTCCTTTTTAGACTATCAGGAACACTCATATAGACAATATTGCCAAAATCCACAGAGTCAAAAGTGCCTCCAACAAGTATCCTTCTTGCAACCTCTTGCTGGGTGAAGGGGCAAGTGGGAACACGCATCCACCTCAACGTTCTCTGTACTTGAAAATTCTGGGATCTATCAGAGAACTTGAAACATCCTCTTTTACAGGACAGTACTTGGATGCGTCCTAAAAGATGCAGGGTTTTCCCTACAACCCTTCAGGAAGGAGTTGTCCTTTATGACTTAAGTCTAACCTTCTGTTCGCTCCATCTCTCTTAACAAAAGAAGAGATCCTTCAATGCATTTAAGTCTTGGTGCCTAAAGGGTTCACACCACCTGCAATCCAGCCCTTGCATTCCAAGAACAACTTTTTTTTTTTCATTTGAAAAAAAGTAAATAAAATGCACCCATAAAGCTCACAATCAAACCAAGAAGCACGTATCTTTGCACTCTAAAACTATCAAAGAGTGAATGACTTTTAAAGACTGAAATCTATGTTGCTTTGAGAGCATTGACCGAGATTTCGGGGAAGGGTATCAAAGGGAATACATTAAATTTTTCTACAGATTAAATCATTATAATGGAAGCTACATGAAAGACAGTATTCCTAATGAAGGAAGAGTTGAAAACTATGTCAGAAATTAGTTGTGATTTTTTAAAATTAGACTTTCATTCCACTTGCTATCAAATAATTGGTGCTAAGCTGTCCTCATAACTGGACTGAACCCTGAAAACTAAGCAGTGACGGTGGTCCGAGCCCTCGATGCAAGTACTTTAACAATGGTAATTTCTGTCAGGGTTTTAGCAAATGAGCTGCATGACTTCTGTGAATTTGGGGCCTGCTTTGGCTTTTGAAGTTAGTAGCGCTGTTGACTTCAATGAGAATGAAACCAAAGTGCCTTTCCTGGCCGTTGCATTAATCAGCTCAAAAAGAAATCAAAGTCCCTGCCCAAAAGATAGGTCAAATTTCCAAAGGAAAACTAATTAAAAGAAAATCCTGCTATATGTATGCACCCTTGGCATTTCCCACTTCCAGTCAGGTCCAGAAAACACCATCAACTCAATGCCTAGGGCTGTTCTTCCAGCACTTTTCATCCTTATCTAGCAAAGATATCCCCTGACTAGGCTTTTATCTCAGATTTATCTAGATGGCCTGAGACCATTTAAACAGTATGAGCCAAATCCCATTCTCCGTGTGCTCCTTCTCTTTCTCAGGAAAGGGGCAGAAGGTTTTTTTTCTATTGAGACTGAATAAAATTAAAAAGAGGAATTGTTATTCACGTCATTATCTGGCACAACAGGATACTGAGGTTACATAAGGCCCTTCTAGGTACCTCTGGCACAAAAATAAAAACTTTCAGGCAGAGAGGAGTCATTAGAAATAAGATTCGTGTAACTCTAGTTTGATTAAATGGAATAAAAAGCTTCCTGAGGTCTCCTTAAATCAAAGGAGGAAAGAATCGGCCAAGGTTTTAGAGCCACCTAAGAGCCAGAGAGAGAAAACACATGCAGTTCTTTAAAGCTCGCTCCTGTTCTGGCATCTCAGTCCCACATTAACTCCTGCCCACGAGTCCCGCTTTGCTCCTCAGCCCTCTCCTCTTGGCTACACTCTCCCTGGCAAATCCTCAGGCCGAGCAGATACCCGTGGTGCGTCTCACTTACGGACAGCAGAAAAATAAGCCTCCCACCAGAAAACAGACAAAACTGACATTACCCCCTGGCAAACAGACGGGAACCACTGAGTTGATGCCTTCCAGGCCCCCAGAAGATGCATCAGCCACAGCAGTGTGAGCTGGAGAGGTGCGGGCATGTTTGCTCATGTCGCATCCATCTCGGTGTCTCCTGAGTCCACGTAGCTACAGGCAAGGCAGGAGCTATTTCAGCTCCACAGAAACAATACTTCTGATGTAATTACAGCAGCAGCTAATAAGCTTTGGAAGGGACACATCACAAAGCTAAAATGGGTCAGACCTGCCACGTGCAGTTCTCCTCCCTGAGGTTATGAACCCCCAAAGTTTTACTACACTGGGGAACTCAGCCAGGATGGTCGATCTGGAGAAACTGGATTCACCCTGAGGGAACAGCAGCTGGGGTTATCCTGGAAGAAGACTCGACTCCTCACCATACTTAGGGAAGGTAGGATTAGAGGGAGGTGGCACTCGGAAGGCCTACAAACTGCTGTCTGCTGCCAGCCCGAAAGATGCTCTCTGCATGAGCTGTCGTTGCTGTCTATGTCTGACACTAAATTATGAGTTACACCATTTTAACATCGCTCTTGCTGGAATGGCCATGCAGTTCAGCAGGGTTCTGACATCAAACAGTGAAGAATTAAGTCCTGTCCAGCTGTAACTTGGCCCTCTTCTACCCATGAACTTACAACACCACCTAAAGCTACCTGAGCAGCGTAGCAAAAAAGGCATGACCTACATCTGCTGTAGGCTGAAAGAACCAGCTCGGTTCTAAGTTTCTTACTCAGAATAGCTTGTCTAATGTTACCCATTCCCTCCTTGACCATCAGAGCCCTACCTCTGAAAACACCGGAGATGGTGCCATCAGGCCACCTCACAGCATCACCACAGCTTGGCCGAGCGGGCCTGGTGAACAACTCTGCCTTTAAAGCAGGAGCAGAGCAGTCAGGGCCAGCGCGCAGAGC